ATTTGTCCTTTTGTGATTGACTTATTTCACTCAGCATAATGTCCTCCAAGTTCATCCACGTTATGCGGTGTTTTGCAGATTCTACATTATTCTTTAGCAGGAGATATCCTTTTAAAACCCACATCTTTCAGGCACTCTCTTGCCCAGTGGCCTGCCTAGCTCTCTGTTGTTAATATGCAAAACATCCAGGACCTTCTCACGCTAGCCTTCTTTATTTCATCTTCAGTCTTTGCCCTCTCTAACCACTTGGGCAGAAGGACCTAATCACTGTCACCCCAACCTCGGTTTCTTTCCTGTGTCCAAGTATTTGCACAAAACTCTCCCTTGCTTTCTCTGCTTGATAAACTCCTCAAATTCACATGTCACCTCTAGGAAGGCTTTTCAGGGTTAGGTCCCTCTTCAGAGCACCCACTGTCCCTCTGCTTTTCTCTAGCACAGCCCTAATCATACTAGATTAGGTTGCCTATAGCTATCTCTGTGTAATATTTAAGCTCCCCAAGGGCAAGGGCAAGGTTGGCGGTTCAAACCCACCAGCTGCTCCACAGAAGGAAGATGAGGCAATTTACTTTTGTAAAGATTGACCACCTTAGAAACCCAGTGGGGTGTTGCTATGAGTCAGCACTGACTTGATGGCAGTGTGTTATAGCTACCTCTGTGTAACATTTGAGCTTCCCAAGGGCAAGGCCAGGGCCACTGCATTACAAACTCCAAGGGACAGTGTTTCATGAAGCTCCACGTGGATGGGCTTCCTGTAGTCGGACAATTGGTTGGTCCTGGGAGCCGGGTCTGAATCGCCTGCCCTGTGTCCAGCACAGGCCCTGACACAGTGTGGGCACTACTGCATGTGTTGTGAATGGGGGTAGGCTAGGGCTGGGTTCTGTCGTGGGTGGGATGGGGAAGCCCTGAAAATTCTGCCAGAGCCCCAAGTCCAGCCAAAGACCATGTGGAATGACTGCAGCCACAGAGGCACCTACCTGGCAGAAATGCTCCTGAAATTCTCCTCAGCCTCATGGACACGGCCCAGGTACTTCAGACACAGGCCTTTCAGCAATTTCACCAAGCACTCATCATCCACTGAGAACTCATTCTCTGAAAACAGAGCGGTGAAAGGAGAAGACAGGCTATCAATTTTTCATTTGCTCATTACTGCAGCAGCAGCTGCTCTGTATTGGGCCCAGAGACACAGAGGTGGCTTAAGACATGGCTACTGTCTTCAAGGAGATCACATCTGGGAAGGAAAGACAGATAATGGGACAGTGACAATACAGAGAGCTCAGCACTGGCCAAGGAGAGCAGAGGGGCAGTGAGAGCCCAGAGGAGGCCCTGACCCTGCCTGGAGGATAAGGAACACCTTTCTGGAGCAGCTGACAATGAAGATGAGGACAAAAGATGGAGTTGAGAAGTGGGGAATGGCCTTTGGGGCAGGGGGATCTTTCAGCTCTAAAGAACTGGAGTCAGACCCAGCCTAGCAGGTTCCAGGTAATCACCGGGGCCCTTTTCCAGCGTCACTTCAGCCTGAGTGATGATCTCAAGTATCCCGTCGGTGAGTTCTCGCTGCTTCCCAATCACAGCGTAGCCGTTCCAGACGTACATCATTTCCTACAGCAGGGAACAAGTCAGTCCCAGCAAGCTGCCCACACAATGGGGCTGTCTGGGAAGGGTTCCTTCTACCTTGAGGTATCTGAAGCCCACTCTTACTGGTCTCCCCACCCCCACACCCAGGAGGCAGCAATTCCTCAGAGGCAGGGGCTGCGTCAGACTCATCTGCACCCCTCTCCTCAGCCCCAGAGCAGGGCACAGAAGAGTGCCATCACAGGTTGTTGACTGCATAGGAAACCCTCCCTAGGCCTCTGATGCATGGAGGTCTTCCTCCCTCACTCTACTTCCCCGGAGCCCAGGGCTCTCATCCTGGCACTCAGCTGATCCCACAATCCTAGTCCAAGATGCAGGGCCAGTGAACACTCTTTACCCACCAGAGCAGGGACTGGCAGTGAGATAGGGGTGGGGGAGAGGTAGCGTCTGGCCTTCCGGATGGCGAACTTCTCCGTGGGCAGAGACTTCCCAGCAATCTTGAGCTTCAGGCCTGGCACAGCTCTGTGAAAGAGATGAGGAAGTGGGGCAGAGGGTGAGAAAAGACAAGAGAGGATTGAGGGTCCCCTGCCTGCCCCTCTCTGAGCCTTGGTTTCCCCACTTCCACAGTGAGAATATTAAACTCTTAAAGAACTTCCTTGGTCAGAAACAGCCTGTGACTATGCCCTTACTTCACGGTCCTGCCCCAGGACCTGGCCACTTCCTGTGATGAGACACGGGGCACCTCCACACTAGCTGGCTGAGGTGTGAATATACCCAAATGTCCAAGCCTGTTCTGCTTCCAGACTGTCCCTCTTCCACTCCCACAGCCCATTTTCCAGGAAGGCCCAGAGAAGTTGAATCCCAGTTTCACAGAGGAGACTATTGCCCAGAGAACTTGGGCAGGACTTGCTCAAGACTGCACAGATTAAACCCTTAATTAACTATTGCCACATGGGTTGTGTGGTCTCCTGAGCTGTTCCCAAGGGCAAAACAAAATGTGATGCCCAGCTAGGCGAGCCCCTCACTTGGGGCTTCATGCACCTGGCTCCATCATCACCTTCTGATTTCTGCAACAGCTACTGGGTGGGCTGGGGCCTGAGGCCTGAGGCCTGAGCTGTCCAGGCCCAAGAAACAGCTGGCCCTGGGTGTGAGTTCCCCCTAGCCCGCCTGCATATTCACTGTGGAACCTCTCAGGGCCTCAGTTTTCTCATCTCTAAAATGGAGCTAACGATGCCTACCTTTCACAGCGTTTCTCTCAGCAAATACTAAACACCCTATTATTGTGACAGTAGTAGCTCCAGGAAGCTCAAGTTACACCCATTCCCAGGTCTGAGAAGTTGGGGCCAAGCCTCTGCGTGACTGGAGGAAGGCTCCAGACCCCTCCCTCAGCCTGCCAGTGCTGAGCACTGTCTCCAGAAGGCCCTGCTCTAACAGCCTTTCTTAGAAGGCAAACATAGCAGCACAGATAAGAATAAAAGCAGTGGGCAATTTAGCAGGCTCTGAACTCTATGCCGGGCTTTTTAAATATACTATCTGTTTCACTCTCGAAACCACCTGCAAGGTCAAGTTTGTCATTCCTATTTTATAGATACTGAAACTGTCCAAGGTGACACAGCTAAGTGGCAGAAGTTGGATTTAAACCTGTTTGATTGCGACTTTGGGGCTCTCTACTGTGCTTCTCTGAAGAGTTTATCAAGTTGACTCAGCAGAATGGCAGGGCGTTCCTCTTTCTGGACCTCAGTGTCCACCTCTGCCTTATTGACCAGATAAAGAAACTCAGTGAGGAGGATGTTGACAAAAACCACTTTGTGAAAGAAAACCTCGGAACAGATTACAAGGGCTCTCCCAACAGTGGCAGCAGCAGCATGAGGTGGTGACGGGTGAACCTGGGGCAGGGGCCGGAGAGCTCAGGGCTAGGGGAGATGACCACCACCCCCTCCCTGGTTGCCACAGCGTGGGTGTCTGTGGGAAGAGCCTGGCTGGGCTGTCCACAGCTGAGGCCTTTGAGGGGGATGTGCTGGTGGGACCTACCTAAACAGCTCCACTTCGTCATCTCCAAATGGCTTGTAGTCCTCCTCCCCAAACATGCTGAGGTAGGCAGCCTTCATGTAGATGTAGGTGGCCTGTGTAAGACATAGCAACAGCCAAGTGTAAGCAACCTTCTCTCCCTCTGATCTGCGCTCTGGACTGGCACAAGTACCTCACAGTAGTCCAGGGTACTAGCTAACATTATCCCAGGAGGGAAATTGGGGAAGAGGAAGTTGAAGACATTTGAGAAGGTTTAAGTGGTAGAACCAAAAAACACCAAACTCACTGCCATGGAGTCGTATCCCACTTACAGAGACCCCTCCTTGGGTTTCCGAGGCAGTATCACTACGGAAGTAGGTTGTCCAGCCTTCCTTCCGAGGAGTGCCTGGTGGGTTTGAACCGCCAGCCTTCTAGTTAGCAGTCAAATGCCTTAGGCACTACACCACCAGAGCTCCCTTAAGTGGTAGAACTGGGAGTTAAATACAGAATGGACCAGTGCCAAAGGACCCATCCTCTCTGCTCTGAAGGAGAGGAAAGGAGGACCCAAGCAAGTTGTATGTGAGTAGGATGTACTGAGGCTGAAATGTTGACACAGAAACAAGAAGAGCGCCCATAGCAGGAAGGGCTTCTGGGAAGAGACAACTTCAGAGCTGGCCCTTGAAGGACATTGAGAAGATTCACAAGGACCTAAGAAAGTGTCTTCCCAGCAAGGGAAACAGTCTGAGCAAAGTCAAGGGTACGGATGTGTAAAACTCACTGCCATTGAGTCGAATCTGACTCATAGCGACCCCTCCTTGGGTTTCCAAAGTGGTATTGCTACAGAAGTAGATTGTCCAATCTTCCTTCCAAGGAGTGGCTGGTGGGTTTGATCTTCCAGCCTTGTAGTTGCAGTCAAATGTCTTAGGCACTACACCACCAGAGCGCCCAGGGATGTGGAGGTAGGACACAAATATGTAGTAAGGAGCACAGGATTCCTGAGGTGTGAGGTCAGAGAGGAAGGCAGGGCTCTGGGTCAGGGCTGGCTCAGGTTCCCATGGTGCAACCACCTTACTGTGTGTCAGACAATGTACATATATCACCTCGCTTGATCCCAGAGAAGATGACAGAAAAGACTCTGTGCCCTACTTCTCCCTGATTGCTCAGAGTTGACTCCAGGTTTGTGTGGCTTCCAGCCAAGGCCTGGACCACTGGGACCAAATCACCCCTGACAGGAAAGGTGATGCTGTGCAGGAGTCCCCCTCACCCTTACCCCAGCGATCCATTCCCAAATGCCATCCCCTTCACCCAGGAGTTCCCGCATGGTGCAAATGGCTAATACCCTCAGCAGGTAACTGAAAGATTGGTGGTTCAAGTCCACCCAGGGGTGCTGTGGAAGAAAGGCCTGGTGACCTGCATCTGAAAAAACAGCCATTGGAAAACTTATGGAATGCAGTTCTACACACATGGGAGCACCATGAGTCAGAATCTACCCGAGGGTAACTGGTTTTCCGCAGACCCCAGCAAAGAGGAGTCTATCTCTGTGCTGCCCTCCAGTGGCAGAGCCTTGAACTACAGCTGCTTCCTTCCTCCTGCAGGTGCTGCAAAGAAACTTCTTGCCAGAGGCCAAAAAAAGAAACACAGGGGATGGAGGAGGGAAGGGAGCCAGACATCCTGGTGTATAGTCTCTGCAGAAGGTAGAAAGCAGCCTTCACCCAGCAGCCTCACCCACTCTGGAGCCCAGGTCTCCTCCCAGTTCTCTTTACAAAATGAGGAAAAACTGGTCTTTGTGGGGTGTGCAGGGAGAATCTTCCCTCACACAAAACCTGTTCCCAATCCCATCTTCATCCTCCCAGCTGCCCTGGAAGAAACCTAGTGTCATCTTTGCCTTCTCCCTCTCCCCCACCTTCTGCCATTGGGTGTCTACTTCCTGATGACTTCACCTCCTGCCTAGCTCTGGAATCCATTGCCCTTACCTCTCATCCCCACTACTGCGGCAGCCTCCACACCATCTCCCTGCCCCAGGCTCCTTTCTACTGTCCTGGTCCATGATGCTATGACCTACCCCAGTGGTGGTTAACTGCTCTCCCTGCTCCCACTCCTGCCTGCAAGCCACTTCTCACCAAAGCCACTCTGATCTTGTTTAAGGCAGATCGTGTCAGTCAAGGCAGAGACATGTCAGTCTCTTCTTGAAATCTTCTGATGACATCCCATCACACTCAGGATACAATCCAAGCTTCCTGCCACAGCCTGCAAGGTCCTACACAATCTTCCCCTTAGTTTCCTTTCCAACTTCATTTCTGACCATTCTCCCCTCACTACAACACTTCAGGCACACAGGTTTGCATACTGTTCCCAGAACACATCAAAGCACTCCTGCCCCTAGTCTATAGTCTCCTCTGCCTAGAACATTCTTCCTTCAGATAGCCACGTGACCTGCTCTTCATTTCATTCCATTGCCTTCTCAGACAGGTCTCCCCCTACCCTACCACTCTGTACAAAAAAAGCTGTTCCCATCACTCCCCACATCCTTACTTTGTTTGATTTTATTGCACTTGCCAGAGAGAACCTGACACATGATACTGTACATCTAGTTGTTCGTGTACTTACTGTCTCTCTCACTACTAGAATGTAAGCCTTCAGCCGTGGTCTTTGTTTTGTTCATTGTTATATTTCCTGGCTTAGAACAGGACTTGGCATATGGTGGTGCCCAGCAACAGAAGGCAAGAATTCTAAAGCACAAGCCTGAACCACAAGCATTTGAGGGCTTCCCATGGTTAGACTAAAGCCCCCATGGCCACTCCGGGCCCTCCATGCCCTCTTTAAACTCTTTTACTGGCTCATATTCACCCTGGTCCTTCCTTGTGCTGCTCCCTCAGCCTGGGATGCCATTCCCCCTTCTCTGCCTGGCTCAGACTCTCCAGACCCTGACTTCCTCAGGAGACTTTCCCAGGTCTCCCCAGATGCCTCCCTCTCAACTGAGCCACCACGAGTTTGGATGCACGTAGCAACCTAGAGTTGTGAGATCCATGGCTATCGTGGTTATCAAGGGATGTTATGGGGGCCATACTGATGGAAAATGGCAGCTGCCTCCCCTGATGAGAGTCCTGTCTCCCCAGGGCTATTTGACTGTTTTCTGTAAACATTCTTTTTGCTGTATTACTCTGCCAGGTTCTGTGCCAGGTCAGACAGTTGTCCTTAAGAAGCTTATGGCAAAGAGCACCCAGGAAGAAGGGTCCCTTGGCGATCCCTCTGAATCCCACTCCTTGGCTCTGGTGATTCCAAATCCTTGACCCTGATGAGATAGAACCTCTTGGCAGCACCCAAGCTTCCGAGTCTTTGTTCATGCTGTTCTCTCTGCTTGGAGTACCCCCTTACTTCCTCCATTCCACCGCCCTAACTCCTTCTCCTTCAGGACTCAATTCAACTGTCTCATCTTCCAGTAGCCTTCCTTGTCCCCTCAACTGAATTGCCCAGGGCTGCCTATGAGCTCCCCTGCACTGAGCACACTGTCGTCACCAGCTGCTTACTGGCCATTTCAACCCCTACACTGCAAGCATCAGGGGAAGCTTGAAGGCTTCCACAGGGATGACTTTGAACAATCCAGGCACGAGGTGATGCTGAGCAGAGAGAATGGCACTTACGGCAATGCCACAGACAGTCTCTAGAGCTGATTGGTGGACACTGTGGCAGCCACCACAGATTAGGAAGGAATGAGGCCTCAAAACTTGGTCTGCTACAACCCCCAGTTTCACAGAAAATCCTGAGTATTACACAGAGAGAAAAGGGCTGATTCCACCTTCCCAAGTCACACAGTGAGCAGAGGATCAAGTTGGGACTCATAGCCAAGTACTCACATCCTGACACCTGGGAGCCTTGGCCCTCTCTCTGACCACCCCCCCCACACACACAGCTGTGTGGCCACCCCAGACTTCCCCAGCCCCATGTAACTGGACCCAGCTGCACGCCTCACTCCCAGGAAGGCTCCTAGAGTCCTTTTAGCTCAAAAAGGTTCCCTGAGGCTTTGTTCTTGTTGGGAGTGGGAGGTGATGAGGAATGAATGGCAGGCCCACAAAGGTTGGGCCTGAGGAAGCACCTTCAACAAGAGCAGGGTGATCTCAGGGCAAACTGGGCCTCCTTGGGAGGGCTTATGGAGAGAGAAAAAGCTGTGGGCTTTGAATCAGGCAGAACTACCTTCAAATCCAACAGCTGTGTGGTCTAGGAAGGTCACATACCTATTCGTAGCCTTAGTGTTCATACATGAAGAAAGCAAAAGGTCATTAAAAGAAAAACAGAAAGAAAAGACCAAAATGGATCTCAGAAAAGACTCTAAAACTTGCTCTTGAATGGAAAGTAGATGAAGCAAATGGGAGAAATGAAATAAAAGAGTGAATTATTTCAAAGGGCAGCTCAAGAACACAAAGTAAAGTTTATGTGAATGATCAGAATTCCCAGGTGTATAGTAAAGTTGACAAGGGGAAAGTTGTGGTCACTGCTTGTTCACAGCCAGCTATCCAGAGGGACCGAGTAGTTGAACCTGTGGGCTTGGGACCATAGTCGCAGGGGACATCAAGCTCATACTATATAACATATAGTTATATATAACTATATAGCATAACATACTATATAAAACATTGTTCCACCTCCTACTTTGGCGAGTAGCTACTGGGATCTTAAAAGCTAGCAAGCTGCCATCTAGATGGAACAATGGGTCTCTCCTCATCCAGAGAAAAGAAGAATGAAGAAAACTAAAATTCATGGAAACAATTAGTCCTAGTGACTGGCACACCATCTGATCTGCAGCCTATATGACTATGAGACCAGAAGAACTAGATGGTGCCCGGCTACCACTGTCATCCACTTGGAAGGGGATCTATGTAGGAAATCCTTGATAGAGAGGGAGAACAATGTGGAACAAAACTCAAAATCATTTGGAGAAAAAAAAGGGGGGAGGGACCAGGTTTGCTGGTCCAATGGAGCCTGGTGGAACCACTGAGACTATGGCCCCTAGATGCCCTTCAGGTCTGGAATTGAACCTACACCCGTGGTTTCCAGCCAAACAGAAGACAGGCATATGAGTTGAACATTTACCTGAGGTAGATATACTCCTTGGAGAGAACAATCACGGGAGAAAGAAGGGCTGCTTATGCACAGAGAGACAGCTCAGGGGGCAGGAATGCATGGAGAGATGGACACTGGGAAGAGGTAACTATGGGGAGGAAGTGGGAGGGGAGCTGTTGTGTGGTAAACTGTGGTCAATGTCATGAGACAAAGTGTATGTGAACTGCTGTATGGAAAGTGAATTTGCTCTGTAAATCTTCACCCAAATCACAATAAAAAATAAAATAAAAAGAACACAAAGTAAAGTACTATAATGAAATGTGCAAAGACCTGGAGTTAGAAAACCAAAGGGAAGAACACACTCAGCATTTCTCAAGCTGAAAGAACTGAAGAAACAATTCAAGCACAAAGTTGCAATACTGAAAGATTCTATGGGCAAAATACTAAATGATGCAGGAAGCATCAAAAGAAGATGGAAGGAATACACAGAGTCATTGTACCAAAAAGAACTGGTCAATGTTCAGTCATTTCAGGAGGTAGCATATAATAAAAAATAGATGGTATTGAAGGAAGAAGTCCAAGCTGCACTGAAGGAATTGGAAAAAAACAAGCCTCCAGGAACTGATAGAATATCCATTCAGCTGTTTTAACAAACGGATTCAGGGCTGGAAGCACTCATTCATTTATGCCAAGAAATCTGGAAGGTACCTGGCCAACAGATTGGAAGAGATCCATATTTGTGCCCATTCCAAAGAAAGGTGGAAATTATTGAACGATATCATTAATACCAGGAGCTCTGGAAGCATAGTGCCTAAGGCACTTGATTGCTAACCAGAAGGCTGGTGGTTCAAACCCACCAGCCACTCCTCAGAAGGAAGGTTGAGCAATCTACTTCTGTAATGATACTGCCTTGGAAACCCAAGGAGGGGTCGCTATGAGTCGAGTCCGACTCGATGGCACATAACAACAACAAATCACTAATACCATACACAAATAACACTATGCTGAAGATAATTCAAAAATGGCTGCAGGAGTACATCAATGGGGAACTGCCAGAATCCATGCCAGATTCGGAAAAGGGCATATAGAACAAGGGTTATCATTGCTAATGTCAGATGGATCTTGGCTGAAAGCAAAAAATACCAGCAAGATGTTCACCTGTATTTTATTGACTATGCAAAGGCACTCGACTGTGTGGGTATTAACAAATTATGGACAACGTTGCAAAGAATGGGAATTCCAGAACATCTAATTGTGCTCATGAGGAACCCGGTGAAGGAAGAGGAATAATGATTCAAACAAGAGGATACTGCATGGTTTAAAATCAGGAAAAGTGTGTGTCAGAGTTGTATCCTTTCACCATACTTATTCAATCTGTATGTTGAGCAAATAATTCAAGAGGCTAGACTTTATGAAGAAGAATGCAGTTTGAAGGAAGACTAATTAACCTGCAATGTGCAGATGACACAACCTTGCTTGCTGAAAGTGAAGACTTGAAGAACTTACTGATGAAGATCAAAGAACGGATTACACCTCAAAATAAAGAAAACAAAAATCCTCACAACTGGACCTATAAGCAGCATCATGATAAACAGAGAAAAGATTGAAGTTGTCAAGGATTTCATTTTACTGGGATCCACAATCAATGCCCATGGAAGCAGCAGTCAAGAAATGAAACAATGTATCACATTAGGCAAATCTGCTGCAAAAGACCTCTTTCAAGTGTTAAACAACAAAGACATCATTTTGAAAACTAAGGTGCGCCTGACAACAGTATTTTCAATAGCCTCATATGCATGTGAGAGGCTGGACAATGAATAAAGAAAATCACAGAAGAATTGATGCATTTGAATTGTGGTGAATAGTGAATGTATCATGGACTGCTAGAAGCATGAACAAATCGTCTGGAGGAAGTGTAGCCACAATGTTCCTGAGAAGGAAGAATGGCCAGACTTCATCTCACATACTTTGGTCATGTTGTCACAAGGGACAAATCCCTGGAGAAGGATATCCTGCTTGGTAAAGTGAAGGGTCAGCGACAAAGGGATGGATTGACAGTGACTGTGACGATGGGCTCAAGCAAGACAACAGTTGTGAGAGCACTGCAGGAGTGGGCAGCATTTCGTTCTGTTGTACACAAGGTGACTACGGGGCAGAACAACAGCCTTAGTGTTCCCTGTGTGCTCACCTCTCTGGGCATGGTGTGGAGGAAATGGCAAGTGCAAGGCACACTTGAAGAACCCAGTAATAGGCTGCTTCCTCACCCATCCCCTCAGAGAATTCCTTGTTTTCTTGGTTCCTATGCAGGGGTACGGAAAAGGGACTTCTGTGCAGAGGTGGTGGAAGGATGAGGAATAGGGATTAGATGTAGATGACAAACAGAACCCAGGTCAGTGCTAATGGCTACCTGGAGAAGGCATCTGAGGTCATAGTCAGGCTCGTGGGAAAGAGTTCCTGGATTGATTAGCAATGTCTGTTATGGGAAAGGGATAAGATAATGGAAACAGGTGTGCTATATATTAGACCAGCACCAGATTAGATGTCCTCTGACGTCCATTATTCTAAGACTCTGGATTGAACATTCTGCATTGTCATCATTATGGTATGTTGTTGTTTTTAGGTGCTGTCTATTTGATTCTGACTCCTAGTGACCCCGGGTGACAACGCAGAACATCCCCGCACGGTTTTCTAAGCTGCAATCTACAGAAGCAGATTGCCAGCTCTTTCTCCCACAGAGCAGCTGGGTAGGCTCAAACCGTCAACCTTTAGGTCAGCAGCCAAATGTTCAACGATTGTTCTAGCACGGGTGCTAACTATGGTATAAACCAAACCAAATCTGTTTCTGTCAAGTTGATTCCAACTCACAGTGACCCTACAGGCCAGAGTAGAACTGTGCATATGGTTTCCAAGGCTATAAATGTTTATGGAAGCAGCCAGCCATATCTCTCCCACAGAGCGGCTGGTGGGTTCCACCAGCTGACCTTTCAGTTAGCAGCAGAGTACTGAACCACTGTGCCACTAGGACTCCTTTAACTATGGGATAATCACTGCTATTTATTTATTCAGCACTTACCATGTGAAGTTACAAGTTTTCATTTATAAGAACTGTTTTGTTTTGCCTACATGGCATCTCTTTGATGCTCCCCTACACATAAGCATTCTTCCTTTGGGAACTTCACTTCATTTTTCTTCTGAGGAACCACCCCTTCGTCTATACTTAGTGCACAAGGAATCTTCTCACCCTTCTGTTTCCAGGTATTGACACGTAGCCTAAGCCACATGAAGCTCAATCCTGGGACTTTTGTTGAAACCTATCTAGACAACAAAGATGTCACAGAAGTAAGCATAGCCACAGACAGAAAGACCAAAGACCAGATGATGTGATTTGAATTTCTAGATCTAGCTCTACCTGAATTTAGATGTGTCTAGAATTTTCAGTTTTATGAGCCAATGAGCCTTTTGTGTTTAGAACTATAGTGGCTACAGTTACGTGTAGCTTTTAAAATTAAATTAAAAAATTCCATTTCTCAGTTGCACTAGCCACATTAGAAGTACTCACTGTGCATATGTTGCGAAAACCAAAAAACCAAACTTACTGCCATCAAGTCAGACCCGACTCATAGTGACCCCTCTTGGGTTTCCAAGTCAGTATCAGTATGGAACTAGATTGCCCAGTCTTCGTTCTAAGGAGTGGCTGGCAGGTTTGAACTGCCAGCCTTCTGGTTAGCAGTCAAATGCCTTACGCCACCAGAGCTCTTGCATATGTGGCTAATGTGTGTAAAAACAGAACACTTCCACCACAGCAGAAAGTTCTATTGGCCAGCACTAGCCTAGACAATGTGAATCATGTGTCTGTCCCCCGTGATCAAAAATTCTGACTAACACGTAGAGGTTTTAAAGCTTCTCTGCTCCTCAGGGTCTTTAGTGCCTTCCAGCCCTGAGTCCTATTAGAATTTACAGTTCTGTTTAAATTCCAGCTGGCATCTGTGTTCAGTTAGAGGTTTGAACTTTGGTCTGGGGGCTCTGTCATTGGTCCAGGCCCCTGTGCCCCACAACATGTGTGTCGGCCCACCTTGGACCAGGAGTTCTCCTTGCTGAGCAGGTCGGCGTAGAAGTAGGCCATCTTCCACTGGCCCTTGTAGGTGAAGCACCACATCAGCTCCCAGTAGCACATGTGGTGGAACTGCTTCCAGTGCTGCTGGGCCTCACAGCACTCCTCGAACCGTCGGATGGCCTGGGGGTACCCTCTGGTCAACACCTCGGTAGGTGCCCATCTGGCCCCACCCAACCCTGTACCCTCCACACCCTCCCACCTCCACAGCAGGCCCAGGCTTTTCCAGTGCATGGTGGTCTAGCCCTGTGCCAGGCTCAGGTGGGGATAGAAGAGCCCATACTAGTTCTATATCTTGAATCTTATGTGTGACCTTGAGCACAGTTATACCCCCTCTCTGGGACTACAGTTTCACAGTTACAAAATGAGGAGTAGAGCTATAATGGAGGAAGAACAAACAGTGGAAAATAACAATATTGTAATGATATAATAATGTTTGTGCCTCCAAGCAAACCCCTGGGACTCCAGGAGCTTTCATGAAGCTTCCTGGGCTTGGGACATTTGTCCTGTTGTCTGAAGAATCATAGCTAGGGCCAGCTAGATACCCTAGAACTCCACATTGTAGAGTCTGTCCTGGGCCTTGGCTGAGTGCTCGGGTCTCTCCCAGGATCATGACTCTCCCCAACTCCAACACCTTCATTGGCTCCCTACCACCTATGAAGTCCAGACTCCTCAGCCAGGCCTTCAAGGTCTCCCAGCTTCCTCCGCCACTGCTCTACTCGTCAGGTTCCAGCCTAATCAATGAGCCCTAACAAGCAAGGTCTTTCCTACTTCTCTGCTTTCACCAAACGCCTCCCTCTGCTAGCAGTACCTTCTATTCCTCCATCTTCCTGTCACAATCCTACTCCTCACAAATGCCACCTCCCTCCTGGTCATTCCAGACTGCCTCACTTGGAAGGCCTCTCCCCTCTCTGTTCTCTCATGGCTTTTCTCTTGGGACCCTCCTCCCAGTTAGCTCCATCCCTGAGGTACGCCTGTGTGTGTCTGACTTCCCACTGGCCTGGAAGTGCCATCTGGGTCCCTGGAGCTTCCACCACTCACTGTGTCAATGTTGCCTTTAATAGCTTCAATCCGTCCTGCGAAGAACAGGAAGATGGCACCCTGCAAGGACACATGTGTGGGTCCATGCAAATCCATGTGGGTCCACAGGGCACACCTCAGTTGGGGGTGTCCAGCAAGGGTTGAGACTGACCTTAGGGTAACGCTTCAGGTAGGGCTTCAAGAGCTTCTCCGCCTCCTCGATGTTAACGTTTCCAGTTCCTGGAGGAGGTGGCAGACACAACACACGTCACCATCATCAGCTCCTGTGATCCTCCCAGCAACCTACTAGGGGGCCTCTCAGGGCCTCCATTACTCCTCTGTGAGCTAGAGATAATACTTCCTATCTCCATGGTGATGTACAGTGCAGCTATCGCCCTGGTACACCATAGGGCTCATAACCAGGAGCCTTATGATAGTTGGAGCTGTGTCAACTTGGCTGGCCCCACTTGTGTGTGGTTGTTCCCATGATGGGATTGGATGACTGTGTTCTGAATGGCCAATCTGCCCAAGGGAAGTTTCCCTAGGGGTGTGGCCTGCTTCCAGGATATCCAGGGACATCCTAGGAAGAGAGACACTCTTTTGTGGATTGGGACCCAGGGGTGCTGACCACAACCTTCCGTGAGTGAGCAGCCCACCGCTTGGCCTAGAGATCTTGGATTCGTCTTTCGCTGGAGTCAACAACCAGTGTACTGCCTGCCAGCCTTGAATTTCTCGGCCCCCTGCGGTTGCAGAAGCTAAGGCTACCTCCAGCCCGACGTTTCCTCCTGGGACGTTGGACTTGCCGGCTTCTATACATTTGTGAGCCATTTTTCTAAGATAAATTTCTCTCTCTCTCTCTCTTTCTCTCTCTCTCTCTATATAAGCTTTGCTGGTTTTTGTTTCTCTAGAGAACCCAGTCTAACACAAGCCTGTACTCGATAATGCTATAATCGGAACCACAAGGGGCTACCTAAGGCTTCCTGAAAAGCTTTACCAGGTGGGCACACTCATCCCCATTTCACAGATGAGAAAACCGAGGCTGAAACTAGATAATGCCATGAGGACAGGGCCCCCCTCCCCAGGGCAGCTGATGCAGCTGTATTGTTTCTGGTTTTAGTGCCACCCCTCAGCCCCTCACCCCCTTAGCCCTGCTCTTAGAACTGACCGAAACCTAGGGGCCCCAACACTCTCCTCACCCCACAGGGCTCCTACCAAGCACAAAGGTGAGGAAGGTATGGTAGCAGAGTAGCAGCATGACACACAGCACAGCTCTGAAGCTGTGTCCTGAAGCGCCTTCCTCCAGCTGCAGCAGCCCGTAGTCCTGAGGGCATAAGGGGGAAGCTGAGGCCAGTGCAGGCTGGACTCCCTGGGCCCACCCTGAGGCCCAAGGAGGAGCAAGGGCCTCAGAGATCACTGGACAGCTGTGAGGGCAGGATGGGAGAGCACAGACCACAAGCCTAGAACCCAGGAGGCCAGGTCAGCTGATCCGGGGCTGTGTGAACTTACAAGAGGCTGGCCCTCTCAGTCAGCCACATTCCTTCAGGGATGGGACACTACCGCCAAGTCAGGTGTCCCCCACCCCCTCAACACCCCTCCTCCACTCCTCTCTTTATTCACCAAGATCCCTAGGCCTGCTCCTCTACCCTATGTTGTCTGTTTGGGCCCCCTGAGCAGTTCCAGGCTTGTGGGGGGAGGAGAAATAACAAGGAGACAGATAATCCTAACTTCAGGCTTGGGGTACAGATGGGGGCCATGAGGACTGGGGTCCGGAAAGGCTTCCTGGAGGAGAAGGCTGCAGCCTGGCTGGGGAGGAGTTAGAGGCCAGATACCACTTATTTCCCGGCCTGCAGTTTCTGCCCCTGTCTGTCTTCCAGAGTGTTCTTTCTAAAACACAATTATCACCTGCCTGACCGTTGCTTCAAAAGCTGCACTGCCTTCAGGACAAAGACAAAGGAATGGTGTTAGAGGCCTCTTACTGCCCCCTCTTCCTTGCCAAGTGGCCACGGTTTCCCACATCTGGCCCTTCTCTCATGTTGCTCCCTCCTGTCATTGTCTCCAAATCCTATTCATTTCCTAGGGACCTTCTTAAGAAAACAAAACTGATAGGAACCCTCTGGTGCCTCTGGCCAGAGATTTGTTTCCCAAGCATGGCCACCTACTGCAGATGCAACCAAACCCATCTCAGGGGCCCATGGACAAGCATTAGGAAACGCTGAGTCACAGTGAGGCCTTTCCCTTTTCTGTTCTCCTTCCATTCTTCTGAGGGGTCCAGAAGCCTCAACGGGTGCTACTGTATCTTCAGTGTCTTCCCCTCTAAGCTCCCTTTCCCACAAAGAGAAGCAGCTTTGGTGGGCCATGTAATCTGGCTGGGCTTTTTTAAGATTGCTTAGTCTTCATAGTATTTATTTTTATGATTACTTTCTTATCATGCCAACTCTTATGGGCTTATCATGTGTGGTAATGATATGTTTCCTTTAAATAAATTTGAGTAAAAATTATGAGATATTTTAAAGGAAGAAAAAATATGTCTCTGGTGGTGTAGCACCTAAGGCATCTGACTGCTAACCAGAAGGCTGGCGGTTCAAATCCACCAGCCACTCCTTGGAAGGAAGATTAGGCAATCTACTTTCATAGTGATACCACCTCGGAAACCCAAGGAGGTTCCAACTCAATGGCAGTGAGGTGTTTTTTTTTTTTTTTTGGTTTAAGTAATAATACATTATGAGGATTAATCATAAATTACAAGTTTGGAAAATAACTTATCTGGTCCAATCCCCTCGTTTACCAAAATGAGGCCCAGAGGAAGGAGGGACCTATTCAGAATCCCAGGAAGAAGGGGATGAGGCTGGACTGGCCCAGGTCTCCTAACTTCCAGTCCAGTGCTCCTTCCCCTAGCCTGGGCCTCCTCAGTTGGGAAGTACTCCCTGATGTGCTACCTAGAACCTGGGGCTCCTACCTCCAACTCAGGCTCCTGCTCTCAGTAAATGTTCTGGGTGCTCGAGTTCTCTGATTCCTCCCAGTTCTCTTTACCCCCAAGGTCTGATGCTCAGTAAGCATACTCCTGCCCATCTCTCAGACGAGGTGGCAACACCAGAAAGCAGTACAAAGGAAAGGGATTTGCTCAAGATGCTGAAGTGAAGTGGTGTCCAAGTTTCCTGACACCTGCCAGGCTCAGAGAACGTGACCCATGGGCACTGCACAGGGCTGCTCTTTCCATCTACCCTTACCCCAGAGCCTTTCCACCCGGTGAGGAAACTGGAGAGGAAACAGGTCCAGAGAGGTTTGGGCCTTGTTCAGGGTCATACACGGAGTGGGGCTCAGCCAGGAATGGCACCCAGGCCCTGCTGCCCTTCCTCCTTCTCCTGGGGCTGAGATGGTTGGGGGCTAGGCAGGAGGCAGGTGATTACCTTATTTCCTGAGAACCCCACGAACTCCAGCAGCCGCAGGATCCTAGTAGGAAGCATGGACAGCGTCTGCAGGAACAGAGGCAAGTGGGCTCGGGACGGGGCAGGAGATTCCCCTCTTATTCCCCAAACCCCCTAAGATTCATAAGGGTGCAGCCCTGTCTCTAGAACTACCATGAAGATGCCTGGGCTTTTCAACCTGCCAACTTCCCCAGGAAAAGAGTCACTAAAAGTGTCCAAGAGAAGTACTGCCTGCATCCAAATCCCAGCCTCACCACTCCCAGAGGAGTCACCTCGAACAAGAGACATATCCCTTCTATGCTTCACTTTCCTCATCTGTAAAATGGGCATAATACGGGTATTGTGCAGCCAGAAAAATTTAAAAAGATAAAGCACGCAGAACAGGGCCTGAACACAGTTGTTGGCTAACGTTGCTGCTGTTGTTGTCACTACACCAAGTCCCTACTAGGTGTGAGGGTCTGTCATTACAGTTGATCCTCAGAACAGTCCTAAAAAGAAGGGACCGCTGCTGGGAGCTGCCCTCAAGCCAGTCTCTGTATCATGGTGACCCTATGCACAACAGGACTGGGCCATTGTCATCCATAAGGTTTTTATTGGCTGATTTTTCCAAAGTAGATTGCCAGGCTTTTCTTCCTAGTCTGTCTTTGTCTGCAAGTTCCGCTGAGACCTGTTCAGTGTTACAGTAACACGTAAGCCTCCAACGAAAGATGGCTGGTGGTTACACTTGAGGTACACTGGCCAGGAAATGAACCTGCATCTCCTGCATGGAAGGCAAGAATTCTGCCACTGAACCACCAACTGCCCCCACAAACAAGGAATTATCGCCCCATTTAACAGACAGTGAAACAGAGGTTCGGACAGGTGACAGGATTTATCCAAGGCCAAAACCGCATGAGAGGTGGAGCTACTTCCTGAACCCAGGACTGACCAGCTATAACCTGTTAGAGTGTCCAGTGCAGTGTGGTTGCAGCTTATTTTTCTCAGCTCCTGGGCCAGCATCAGTGTTCTCACTTTACACATGAAGAAACTGGAGGCCAGAGCAGGGCAGAGACCACTGCTCCAAGGCCTGCTCTTTGAATAGGCTTTTTTACAAGGAGGTGAGACAACCACCTCTCACCCCACATCACACTTTTGATCCAGTTCCTTGTTCACTGACGGCAAGGGCTCTAAATCTTCCATGAGCAGCTCTTCCTGCTATGAGCAGACTGTTCTCTTCCAAGCATCTCTGTCTTAGCTTTCGCTGTTCCCTTTGCTTGAAATGCCCTTCCCCACCTGGAAAACTCCTATGGATCCTTCAAGATCCAACTCAAATATCCCCCTCACACCACCTTCTGTGGAAAGTTTCCCCAAATCCCCCGGGAAGGTGACTTGGTTCTAATCCCTATGGGGCACCGGCTGTTTCTAGCCTGTTTTCTTCTCTCCCACTGGCAAATGTTTAATAATCACCTCTCTTAGCTCTGGTAATGTACTGTCTCAGGCATTTGACTGCTAACCAGAAGGCTGGAGGTTCAAACCCACCAGCCACTCCTCGGAAGGAAGGTTGGGCAATCTACTTCCGTAGAGATGCTGCCTCAGAAACCCAAAGACGGGTTGCTATGAGTCAGGCTCGACTTAACGGCAGTGAGTTTTGTGGTTTGTTTTTTTTTGTTTTGTTTTGTTTTGTTTTTGTAGAGTAGAAAGGGCCCTGATTTATGGTAGTCTCTGGTGCTGCAAATGGTGACACGCTCAGCTGCTAACCAAAAGGCTGGAGGTTCATGCCACCCAGAGGCTCCTCAGAAAAAAAAGCCTGGCAATCTACTTGCAAAAGACTAGTCACTGAAACCCTGTGCAGTGTAGTTCTACTCTACACACATGGCGTTGCTATGATTCACAATCGACTTGACGGCACCTATCAATGATATAAATACTACTCCCCATGGCTGATTTCAAACCAAACCTGACTTGGGAAGAAGTAGCTCTGTTGAGCTGGCTTCAGCATACAAGGCCAGCAACACATCTGGCTCATTTCTGGGCCTGATGACCAGCACAGGACCAGGCACAGCAAGCACTCAGCAGAGCCCATGCGTGGATCAAGGCCACGTGAGGGAGATTTATCTTGAGCTCAAACACAGTGGAAATGGGGCAGGAGGGGCACTCCCACTCACCAGGTTGAAGGCTCCCACACCAAGCTTCACCCCGCCTTCAAAGTGCCTGTGGTTCTCCCCCTTGCAGTACTGTGAGGACTGGACGAGGCTGTCCAGCTCCCTGTGGAGAGACACAGTCCTATTTCAGCCACATGTTAGAGGCTGGGCCCCATCTCTAGCCAGGCCAATCTCAGAACTTCTGGCTGGTGGGTCTGTAACAGCCTGGCAATCCCGAGAGCTGATACTGGATGACCTTCCAACCACACCTCCCACTGAGATGACACATTCCTTGCCCCTGAATTTCAGCCACCTTGGCTGGGCCATAACAGATGTGTTGGAATTCTGCTGCTGTTCTCAAAATTGATGTTCCTATGTCTGACCCCCGCCCCCTCCCACACACAAAACGAAGCTGTTTGTGCAGAATCTCTGTCTTAATTTTCCCCCAGCACAGGGTCAGACACATAGTAGGCTCTCAGGGGACAAAATGAACAGCTACAGCTAGAAAACTGAAGGAAAGAGAATTCCAGAAAACTGAGGTCCAGAGTGTGCAGAAATCTGCCTGAGGTCACACAGCATTCCAGGCTTCCTGCCTCCAGCCAGTGCTCTCTACCCAACACAGCAGCTTGAGCGGAACAGGGCGGTAGAAGCTGGGGATCGCCAGCCTCGCACCACACCACGGCCGGCCCCACTCACTTATAGGTCTGGTAGCTGTTTCGGACCTTGATGCCACCCTTGATGAAGCTCACCATGTTCTCATCCTGCAGGAAGAAGAGATGCTAAGAGCTGGGTAGATGGCTGTAGTGTTGAGAGGAGTCAAGCAAGGCTCTGGGTCCTACCTGCCCTGCCTGTGCCCAGCTCCACAAGGTACCTTAAGGTGATGAGGCTAGGAGTCAGCCAAGCAAAGACTCAACTACCCCTGGGATTTGAGATGAGTTCATATTTGCCAAACATAACTTCTAATAACGCCCAGGGTTCGACTCCAACTCCCTTTACCGCCTCTCTCTATAGTTTACACATAGCTCTGTTCTTGGAGAAAGGTCTGGAGGAGACATATCTGATGGGTAAAATCGCCTTCTTCTAGGTGGAGGGACCGCAGGAAGGGAGGAGGCATGTTCATTTGTTTGTGCTTTTTATATAACACAGGTATTTATCACACCTCTAATTTAAAGCATCAGTACCCACCACCCACAGGTATTTATCACACCTCTAATTTAAAGCACCAGTACCCACCACCCAGCAGTTTCACTCCTGGGTATATATTCAAGAAGAATGGATGGACATAAGCTGCAGGAGTCATGGTACAAAAATGTTCCTAGTAGCCAAGAACCAGAAACAACCCAAATATCCATCAACAGAGTGGATACACTGTAGCACATGCATGCAAGGGAGGAGAAGATAGTGCTTCTGGTTGAATGAAGAAAGCAAGTCCATACAGCATGAGGCCGTGTGAAGCTCAAAAAACCCACTAACACTTAACAATATGTTGTTCAGACATGAATAGGAATCTGATGAAACTAGTGTTTTCAAAGAAGCACAAGGGGTGATAAGCACAAGACTCCAGGTAGTGGTTTCCTCGGTGAACAGAGGCAGGAGATGAGGTGGGTGGCAGACCAGAAATCAAGGAAAGTTACCACCAGACTTCTGTTCCCCAGCAGGGTAGGATTTGTGTGTTTGTTATTTGTGATAATATAACGAAAAACAAAACAAAGCCCATTATTTTACAATTATTATGGTGAGCACTAAACCAAGGATTAAGAATCATCCATATTGTTGTGGTCCAAAAAGACCTCAAATGGAGAAGAAAAAGAACTGACAAAAATAAACAGCATCCCAACACTAAAATTGATATGCATCTCTCCACTCATGATGATCATATGTGATAATTACAACCCAGGCCTTTTTGGTGAAATTGTAAAGTGTTGGTTCTCCAAATCACCAAACTTTATGCTGTGTGGTGAAGAGAGAAGACATGGATTCCAAGTTGGCCAGATCTGGGTTCAAATCCCAGCTCTGCATTTGCTAACCCATGACCTTGGGAAAGTGACTGCTCGCCTCCATATCTCCCCTTTGCAGACCTGTGAGATGAAGATTAAAGCATATATGTAAATTTCTATGGAAACAAACATGAAGTGTGTGTGAGGTATGTAAAAACAATGTACCTGTAATGTATGCAAAAAGCCTGGTACATCATAGGTGCTGCCAAATGTTTGTTACATAAAGCAGCTTTGTAATGATGCCTGTCCCTCCCACATGACCCTTAAGGGAAAAACAGCAGTCACAGTGGAAGGACCATCCTGGTGACCTGTGTGCTCAGGTGTGTGAGGAGGTGAGCATATTACCTCTGTGGTTGAGCCTGCCAGGGCTCATGAGTGTTGGGGTGACTGAGCCTCAGTCCTTGCCTGAACAATAAGGGCTAGATCAGGGTTGCTAAACCCTTCAAGCTTGGACACGGTGACTGACCTTCTGAAATGCCCAGCCTCCTTTTGCAAGTGGCAGATCCCTACCTGCAGGAAGGTCAGAGCTGCTCTCTGCAGCAGGCACTCTGCGTAGCAGACCTCAGCATGGATTTCCTCTGCAGGGAGAAAACCAAATCCCTGTGGCCTCCTGGGATCTTTGTTGGAGTCTTAAGCCAAATCCTCTCCACTCCCACTTCCCAAAAGGCAAAGGGAGTCTAAGTCAGCCCCCATTCCTCCTTCTTAGCACTCACCACTTGCCCACGTGGCTGACATCTAGTCTACTGCCTGGCTCCCCTGCCTGTACTTGCGCTATTCTCTTGTTCATCAAGCATCACTGTAGATGCTGTGCATCCAACACCTCCACGCAGTGCTGAGCAAGGAGGCAGCACTGGGTTGAATGGGTGAAGGAAAAAGCCCCTTTCCAGACAAGCCCAGGGTCTGTGAGAATAAAGGGAGGGGACCCAATACAGCTCAGGGACTCGGGAAGCATATCTAGAAAGAAGGATATTTCAGTTGGGTCATTCAAGGTAACAAAGAAATGGGAGAATGAGACAGAAAGGGCTTTTTGGCAGAGGACCAGAGAAGCCAAAGAACTCAGATGTTTGGGGACAGGCAAGACACAGGTGGTGGCTGAAACGGGGCTGAGGTAGGGAAAAGATTCTGAGGACAGCAGAAGATGAGGCACAAAGGCCCAGCTGTAAAGGGCCTTTACTGGGGGAGGATTACAGACTTGGGCCTATGCAGGGAGGCAGCAGGGAGCCACGATGGAGGAAGGTGGTGCCCTCAGATGCACCGTTCAGGCTGGGATCCTCAAGTGCTCTTGAGGTGAGTCAGGCTGTTTTCCCCTATACCAAAGAGCCCCAAATAGTTCATGGTTGGCTACTGCTACCTCCAGTGCCATCTGTCACAGATGGTCATGGCACAAAGATGCCATACAGGCTGTGGCAACCTGGTACATCTCTTCCACTGCTGTCTCCTGTCTCCTCTTCTGGTTTCAGCTTCTAAAACCACATTCCCCTCAGGGCCACATGAGCTCACTAAGCTAATTTAAGCTTGCACACACAAGTCTAAGCCCACCCTGGACCAAAGAGGAAAGCACATGGACTTCATGGCAGCTTTGCTTTTCCTCAGTTTTCAGCAGGTAATGCTGTCAGGTAAGTAAGTGGTCTCACCAGCCCTCCCCTGAAAGCCATGCCTCAAAAGGCCCCAGGTATGATCCATTCAGTGTCCCAGCATCTGGGCCCCCTCAGGGATGACTAGGAGAGTAACTGTCCCTTCCCACCCTTTCCTGGGCCTGGCGCCAGCTGCCTGGGACTGAAGGGGCGGGGACGACATCCCAGATGCCACACCTTCCGTGAACTGGTCCATAGTGGTGCGGTGCACCAGGTTGCTGAAGGAATCTGTTACGGAGGACTTCTTCCGGTGCCTGAAGAGGGAAGGGGGACTCAGGTCACTCAATGAGGGACAGTGGGGGTGGGGGTAGCCAATGCCAGGTCACCTCACTCTTTGGAGAGTTCTTAAGGATGCAGTGCTAGTAGAAAGAACACAGGTTTTGGAGTCAGACAGAGAAAGTTTGGGATTCTGGCCAAAGTCACTTGACCTCTCTGAGCCTCAGTTTCCTCATTGGTGAAACGGGGACAATGAACACCTGCGTCAGTCATGGACTGTTGTATATAAGCAGCCCCATGACCCACCAGTGCCCAGGTCTGGTTGATGCTGTTCTTGACAGCTCCCACCTGTCCCACCTTTGTATTCCTCTCCTTAGTTCAGGTCTCCTCATACCTCACCTGGCTTTCTACCTGCCCCAGCCCATGTAGGTCTTGGTGCCCATTCACTCTCCACTTGTCTGCTGAGAGATTTTTCTCAAAGACTCTCCCTTGCTCAGAACCCTTTGGCTCTGCACTGCCCTCTGCATGCAGCCTGGGCTCTTGGTGTGGCTTCTGAGGCCCACACGTTCTGATCGCTTCTCCTGCCCCTCTCAGGGGACTCTCCAGCCACAATGAACTCATGGAAGCTCCACCAAAGCCAGGACTCTCTCACACCTTGTCTCTGCTGTTGGTTCTGCTTGGAGCCTCGTCCCCTCCTCCCTCTGCCCTGGCCAGCTCCTAGTCACCTTTCAGGACCTCATCCAGACACTCTTTCTTGCTCCTTCAGCCAGACCCCACAACCCCTTGAGCTTCCCTGCCTCATTCTGGATGCCACAGACTGTGCCTGTCTCCCTGACCAGCTGGCCAGGGCACTAGGGCAGCCTGGGCCTGATGATTCCCTGAGTTGCCAATGCCCAGCACAGGGCCTGACCCAGAGCAGGCACAAGTGTGTGCTAAATGAATGATCACTCCACACAGGGTCTATTAGTACATTAATTCAAGCAGCTAACGTGTCCTGAAGACTAGTGATGCACCAGGTCCTGTGCAGGTCTCTTCATTCAGACCCCACAACAACCCTATTGCGTATATATCATCACATCTATTTTACAGTTGAGGAAATTTAAGTCAAGGAAAACTGAGAAGGACTTAACCCAAAGTCAAAGTGTTAGGAAGTGACAGTCAGAATGTGTTTCCTCCCAGTCAGACCTAGCTCCTAGAAGCCAATACCACTCCTGAAGAGGTTCTAACATTTAGCATTTGGGAACACATCCTCTTAGTCCAAAGAAGCAAGCTAACAGTGGCATTTTAGGCACTAGGAAACACAGAGTAACAGAAAGGTGGGCCTCACACCCCTCATGCACACTCCCATGCCCCCTACCTTTGACACAACGACTGTGCCTCCTTCATCATGTTGCCAGCAAGCAGGATGTCCTGAGGGTCAAAGGTCATCATGGCCTGCATCTCCAGGATGGTGGCATAAGTCAGCGAATGATACATGCTCTCCTTGGTTCTGCCAGAGAGAAGGGACATGAGGTGACCCACTTCTAAAACTCCGGAAGTACCTGGGTCTATGTCATTCATCTGCCATCCCCTCCCCCATTCTACAGATGAGGAAACTGAGGTCCAGTGAGAGGAAAGGACTTATCCAAGGTCTGACTCTCACTGACACTCAAACAACCTTGAGTCCCATTCCCAGCTCTTCCTCTTCCTGCTAAGTAGCCCTATGTGACCTTCCCAATCTAAGCCTCAGTTTCTCATCTGTTTAGCTAAGGGGGACAGAGGGAGTGGCAACAAGAAAGCTACTGTGAAGACTAATAAAGGGCTTAGCAATATGTTGCCCAAAGGAGCTCTCGTGGCATACTTCCTAAGGTATTTGACTGCTAACCAGAAGGTTGGTGGTTCAAACCCACCAGCTACTCCATGAAAGGCAGACTGAGCAATCTACGTCCATAAAGATTTACTGCCTTGCAAACCCAAAGGGGGTCGCTATGAGTTGGAATCGACTCAGTGGTAGTGAGTTTGGTTTTGGTTTTAATATATTGGCCTGAGGCTGCCCTTCCCTGTGCCCAGTCTCTCACCTTCTGCCATCACCTCCAGTAGGCTGGGCCCAAGTCCTGTCCCAGGTGAGGTCCCAGCACAGTCCTCCTCTCTAGCCTCAAGCCCCACTCCAGGCCTTGCCCCTAACCCTGCTCCAGCCTCCCCACTAACCCACCACCTCCTGCTGCTCTCCCTCCCTCATCCTCTGGTTCAACCCTCCATGGGTTTCAACATCCCATGAAATAATACCTCAGCCGTCACCTAGCACCTGAGGCTCTGCAGGCCCTGCCCACTTCTCCAGCCCTCTTGCCCTTCTATTCCTGACATCATGATCTGGTCACACCTCAGACTGTAGCCCTGGCCACACTGAACCACACATACTTTCCCCCAGAAAATCTCACCCCCAGGCCTTTACTCATGCTAGTGTCTCAGTTTGACATGCCTTTCCCTTCACCATCTCACAAGATAATAATCCACTAATCCATCAAGGCTTTCAAATCCTTCAAAGTCCACTAGGAATCCAGGGCTCCCTCCTCCACAATCATGTGTCTATAAATAACTTAGGCATGGGTCACACTGAACTTGTATCAGCAAAGGCCTCAGCTTACTCCCCAGACTTTAGCTCCTTAAGGGCAGAACTTGTGTGTGAGCCTCACTCCTGTCCTTAGCACACATGTGACAGGCGGAGCCAAGCAGGGTCTCAGGAAGTGTCAGCTTCGAGGCTAATCTTGCACAGACACCAGTGATACAAAATACCTGCAGTCCTTACAGAAACAATAGAAGACAGACACAGAGTAATCCCTCACAGACATCCAGACACTATGGGAGAGAGATCCAATAGATCTACTGCCTCAGAACCATAGTACTGGGGGACACCAGACTCAATTGGCACAACAAAATACATAAAAGCGTTGCTCCACATGCTACATTGGTGAGCAATGAATGGGGTCTTAAAAGCTTTCAAGCAGCCATCTAAGATGCAGATAACAGTCTCCTAGCATAAGGGCATTTAGAAGCAATCAGCTCTAGGACACGACGGCCTCGAGACCAGAAGAACTAGATGGTGCCCAGCTACCGATGCCAACCACTCAGGAAAGGATCAAATCTGTAGATCCTGGATAGAGTGGAGGAAAACCGTGGAACAAAATCCAAAAACTCAATAATGACCAGAATTACTGGTCAGATGAAATCTGGTGAGACTCCCAATACTATGGCCCTGGAATACATTCTGTGCTGGAATAAAAAGCACCCACAGGGGTGGGCTCTCAGCTCAATAGTTAACAAGATGTACATGTAGACCACTCAACCCAGGATGATGCACCCACATACTCTATGGTAATACATCCCTTAGAGCAATAGACCATGGGACACCAGAGGACCAACATTCAAATTGAGGAAATGCAGGACAAACAGGAGTGCATAAATATGAGGGGCACAGGGGAAGGGTTGCAGGGTAGGGAGGGGAGGAGACTGGGTTAGGGTAAATGGTAAATGGGAATGAAACTAAGTGGACACGTTACGTTGAATGTAAAATAAGCTCTTAAAATAAAAAAAAAATTAAAAAAAACTGAACACACACACACAAAAAAGGAAGTGTCAGCTTCCTGCCTCTGCCCCAGCTCCTCCACAGCCCCAGGGTTCCCATCTACAGGTGTGCTGTGGGGGGATATTTACTTTAACACATGGATTGAGCAGCAATGTCACTCTCTCCCTGTACTGGGGGTGTCCCTTAACATATCTGGGCCTTGATTTCCACTTCTGCAAAATGGAGACAGCATGCTGGGCTGCCAGGTCCTGTGGGACTGCCAGGCCCTGTGGGACCTGCCCATGGATAAACCATGCCTGGCACACAGTAGGTGCTGCAGTAGTTTTCACTCCCTCCCCCCGTCCCCACTCCCTTCATTAATTATTTATGAAACTCCTCAGTGCCAGGCTTATGCTGGGCACTTTGGAGGAAAGAGAAATGACTGAGGTTTATAGATTGTTTGTTGCCAAAAATCACGTGACACACTTTCCTGTCTTGCTCACTCATAAAACACCTCTGTAAATTAAGCTTTTGTTGTCTTTTTTGTTTGTTTTTTTAACTTCTGGGTGACCCTCAATTATTTTTATCCTTGAGAATCAAAGGTTTTAGAAGGAAACAAAAGGCAGGTGCCCCTCCTCCCCAGCCCAGGTAGTTGTCAGGACACTTCCTGGGTCTTTGCTGGGTCTCTTAATCTGAGGGCCTGCAGCTGTGCCTGGCAAGAAGGAGATGGCACCTCCTATGGGGTCAGCATTTGGGTTTCAATGTCCCTCAAACATGGGCTTTCTGAGCCTCAATTTTCTCCTCCATAAAATGGATATGACAACACTTCCCTCAAAGGGTTGTTCTTATTATGTGCTATCTTATGTGTTGTTATGTGCTGTTATGTGTTATGTGTTGTTACGTGTTATGGCTTGAGGCCATATCTCAGATGCTCAATAAATGTGAGTCCCTCCTTGTCCTGCCAGGGTCAAGGGTGACTCTCTTGGATTACAAAATTCCTGAAGAGGGGCTTCCCTGGCAGCACACAGGCAGTGCCCCCTACCCAGGCCTCTCCAACTCTCAAGCCCCTGCCTTTCTCTGCCTCTCCCACCCAGGCCTGGGTTACCCACCTGGCCCCACTGCCAGGCCCAGCAGGAGGCACTGCCCCACCCAGGCAGTTGGCAGAAAAAGTGGAATTTCTAGTCTGAGGCCCAAGGCTCCAACATGCACCTATGGCTGGGAAGCCAACCTACCACCTGGGAGCCCCCAACCCCAGTCTGGGCTGGGAAGCAGGATACAGAGTTATGACAACCCTTCAGACCTCAAACACCCCAAGTTTTAGTTTCCACCCCACAAAGTTCTCATTTGCACATATAGCATCTAGACCACTGGAAGGATTAGTTAGCTCTCTCACCCCTGAACTGGTCCTAGCTGTGGGACCACATGCCTACTGGGGTCCTACCTTCTGGGGCTGTCAGGATGGGGAGGGTGCTAGAAGAATCATCAGAAGATCAAGGTGTTAGGACCAGGGATTTCTTGGCCACTTGGGGATCAGCTAAACCAGTGGCCTCCGGATATTCCCTCCTCAGCCAGCAGCCATGCCTCAGGCCCTTGTCAGCTACTTGTCAGCCTCCTGCTTCACCCTTGTCCCCACCCCGTGGGCCTCCTTACTGTGATCCTACCCCCACTGCTCCTTGCTGAGGGCATCCCCCAAATCCCCCCAGTTTGGTTGTGGCTTTTCCTGACCTAGGGCCTCACTTCCCTAGGACCTGTACATGAGTCTTCTCCAGCCTGCAAGTCAGAGGCAGCCCCTCTGCTTCTCTAAGCTGCTACTCCTTTATCCTCATTAAACCTTCCCCCTCAGCCCACTTCCTGGTCCTCATCAGACTTATTTCTCTGGCCATGGGCCCCACCTCATTGCCCTCCTTTCCAACCCAGCCCACGTTCTCATCATCCTGTCCCTCACTTCTGGGACCTGCCTTGGCTTTCCACATTCCAGTCAGGCCCAATGTCTCAGTTCCTCAGCCAGGCCTTTGCACAGACTGTTCCTTCTGCCTGGAGCACTCTCAACCACCCCCTGCTTCTGGCTGACTCCTTCTCATCCAGCCAGTCAGCTTAAATGCCACCTCATCCAGGAGGCCTTCTAGGACAGGCTTCTTGGGTGTGCAATTTACGCAGTCACACAGGCCCCACGTGAGACCCCATGCTTGGGTTAATGCCCTGCTGTCACCATCTTGAAATTCTTAACAATTTTTGAACACATTTTCCTTTTGTAATGGGCCCTGCAAATTGAGTAGCCAGTCCTAAAGCCTTCCCTGACTAGCCCCTTCCCCATGAGGTCTCTGTATTTCCTCCAGCACCTTTCTCATCACACCTTATTGTTAATGCTTCTTTCATTGTTTTCCTGCTAGAGTCCAAGAATAGCCCACATCTGCATCTTTCTCAGTGTTGTAGCCCCTGTACCCAACACGCTGCCTAGCACATGGAGGACAGTCATAAGATGTTGCTAAATGAATCAGTGACAATTGCCCAACTGCCCACATCCCATGGGTCATGCCTGGAACCTCATCACCATCACACAGAATTGCTCTGCTTTTGGTTTCTTAACTTTCCAACCTTCCCACTCATCACTCCCACTGTCCCATCCCCCACCTCCCTTCCTGACCCCCAACTTAGCTTCCTCATACCACCCACTTACTTGCCAAAATAATGCTAATCCTTCCAATCTGCTGCTGCACCCAGTTAGGAACCTCAGCACAGGGTCCAAACAACTGCCCACTTTCTCCATGTTGCCATCAAGCAACACAGGAGAAAACTGCTCACTCACAAAGACAGACATTACCCTGAACCGGGGGTCACTGGCCTCTACCAGATCAGCCACACTCCTCAGAAATGCCTTTTCCTCTCTTCTTGTCATTCCCTCAACACCCCATGGCTCCTCACTCTTGGTTGATGACCTATTTCTTCTG